GAAGGTTGAGGCAGCCAGGATTCAACTGCTGGCAGTTGGTAGAATTAGCCTGCGATACTATATTCTAACCACTGCTCTTTATCATGGTATGGTGTACAGTAAGACAGAATTCGAAGTACAATTGTGTACCAATGATGAATATGTAATTGCTAAAATGTATAGCCTTTTGCTGAAATGTGAAACAGAAGAAAAGTAGGTTAAAGAATGTATGATAAAGTGGGCTAAGAACTTTGATTATAATCTATGTATGGCTCAATAGGAAAATACATGGTTATAAGGGTTGACATTTAAATAATATTATCATCTTAGAGAACATTAAAAATGATATATTGTTAGTACATGACTCCAGAGAAGTTATCTAGAATGTATAAAGATGTTTCAGAGTATGTTGGAAATGTAAATCTCATGAAGAGACATTTTATCATGCTTGATGGACAGGTAAAAAAGCTAAAAAAATTGGATTCAAATACATAGATTAATGCAGAGGATTTAAAAGATTAATATCCAATTAAAGCCATAATTTTTATTTTTAAGATTGATGGATAAATAGAAAATATCCATAGAAGATTATTTCAATATACGATTAGTGAAGCAAGATTATTATGGACAAAAATGGAAAGTTTTGGCATTACCCATCCCGGAGGAATGGTTGATGAAATTGACAGAACTTGCTGTGATGGACAAATTGACTTCTTTGATTAGAGAAAGTTATCACTGACATTCATTAACGATTGGAAACCACTTATGAACTTTTTGTATGTGAAGGAAAATGAAAATATATTTCTGTTTTTAAATTTTTCTTTATCTTCTTTTCTCTTTCTCTTTTCTTTTTTTGCCAAACTTACTTTTCTATATGTGTTTGAATGTGTTTCTTATAATCTATATAAATTTTTTTTGTGTTTCTGTGACACAATAGTCAGCTTGTTCCTAGCCTAAGGCAGGAGACTGACTTAATTTGTCCCTGGGTATACTGGTAAATTTTATTTCTTTTCCTGACATCATCCAAGGCAGCTTCAAGATGTATAAAATCTTGGTATTTATCACCTGTTACTTTGGAAGAGAGCCATAAGCAATGGTGGGATTCAAATATGCGAACAACCGGTTCTCTGTGTCGATGCCACTTCTGGAAGTCCATTTTGGTCCTGGGCAACAAAAAATTATCTACTGGTTCTGCTGAAGTGGTGCGAACTGACTGAATCCCACCACTGGCCACAAGGTCTAGCTATTCATTACTGTGCTCTCCAAAATCTTCGGAAGAAGAAATTAAAACAGTGCTAGATTATAGATCAGTGATTCTCAACCTTTCTAATGCCGTGACCCCATAATACAGTTCCCCATGTTGTGGTGACCCCCAAGTGGCCACCAATAAGAGGGAGTAGGACAGCTAGGGAAAAGGGAAAAAAATGGCAGACAGCATGGTTTGGTGACCCCCGTGAAATGGTCATTCGACCCCAAATGGGGTCCCGACCCACAGGTTGAGAACCACTGTTATAGATGATAGCTTATTTAGAGAAATTGCTTGAAACCTTGAGTAAACTTAAACCCAGCATTTCTCTGCATTTAATGAAAGCAGCCATGTCTTTTTATAGTTTCTAAGCAGCCATACTGCTGCTTTTAAAGAGCTGGTCTGCATGAATTCCTAAGTCCTTCTTCTGAAAAAAAATTCCATATTGTGCACGGTCCTATTAAGTGTTCTGCTAAACTATTTCTAATATCACTAATTTTACCTAAGCTGGAAGTATCACAAAAGCACACAGGTTGGTACTGATATTAAAAACTGATAATTTGGTTTGAAAACAATGGCCTTCAACAGGTGGAAGATGAAAGGCAGCATCAGAAGAAAAGCAGAGTCTGGCATGTTTGACAGTGGTAGCCAATCCTCTTCTTGACAGTCTCTTTTCAAAGACAGCTTTTCTAAAGCCCTTGCTTGTTTTGTTTTGTTTTTAAAAAAATCTCAGAACCAACAAAGTTTACCTGGCTAGACTTTAGCCAAATGCTGAACCTGCATTCCTATTAAGTTGTTACACTGAAGCCATGTGTGTAATGTCCCTACAGAGTTTTATCTGATTTGGCCCCTCATTATTCTTATCTTCAAGAGACATTCATCAAAAATTACTGATGTGCACTAAATAAGACTTTTTCTTATGGCTTCTGCTTTGCAGAAAGAACATTTGTTAAGGTGAGGAGAAGGAATCAGCCACAAATTTTCTCTGTTATTGACATACAAATTAAACAAAGCTAAGGCTGCCTATCCATCCAAATCAATCATATTTTAAAAATAAATTATTTTTGAAAACATAATATCGAATAATTCTCTACAAACTCCCCCCCCCCAATAAACTAAGTGAGAGACTAGAAGATAAATCAGAGACCAATTTACAAGAATCTTTTATACCATTGTTAAGCACATTTCATTGCCAGGCAATTTTCCTGGAATGATTTTTCTCCTCAAAAGTCTTTTTTTTCCCCTTTTCCTATTTTCCGACAGTACCTTTGGTGATCCCAGTTTCCATGTGCTAAAAATGAAAATAGTTTTTTGAATTATTTAATTTGTCCTGATATGAATAGTTTTTCAAGTCTCTAGCTGCTGAGAAGTGTAAAAGGATAGAAATTACAGGGCGGGGGATTAGAAGGCAGTCTAAAACTATTATTTCAAATACTCCGAATCAAAAATAAGATCCAAGTTGGTAGTGGCGCGAAGATTTTTTTCTCACTTGCAGATATCAAGCCAGGACAGATTTTGTAGATGAAGCTGGGCAGGATGCACAACATATCAGGGACACTATAGTCAGAACCATGATCCTACTCATTGATTGGACATGGATATTGCTAACTTTAAATGAATAACTCATGATGAGGCTTTTGGCCTTCACAGACTTGTGAAGTCTTTGTAACTTTCTCTGTGTGACATCCTGTATTGGAGCCTTTAGCAAAGAGAGCTAAATTGGACCTTTACTTTAATGTATTTTCAGGGATGGGATAAGCCTTGGCTGTTGGCCTCTGAAAAAACTTTTATTCTGGATTTCTGCAATCGATTTTAGCTTTCCATGCTCACAATTTTGCTAATGCCTTCTTGTATCTTTAAATATTTTAACTTTTTGCAGAGTGTCCTGATCACTCAAAACGTATATGAAAAAGTAAATAAATAAGAGTTACCTAACTGGTTCGGGCAAAAATCACGAGTCTGTTACATATTGATTGGATCTGATTTTTGCACAGGGTTTACGTTCCTTGGCAGTTTTTCCCAAGATGAATCTCCATTAGGAGAATCTTCTCTGGTTTTCCATCATAAGAGCCTATCCCAGGAACCGGGTCTGCTACTTGAAGCCTTCTGCTATTTGTGATGTCATCAAATAATTCAATTGGGGACAGAGTTATGTTCAAGATCATGTTAAAAAATAGAAGGAATCGGAAAGGACAGGACCATATAATAACAAGTTATTATATCGCCTTTCACAAGAAGATTTTAACTGTTGCTTGTTATAAATAAAAATGTGTCCTTGAGATTTTTTTTTTTAATTGTCTACCCATAGAAACTACCCACAGAAATGGGTAGGATAAGATCTATACTTTTTTCTATTTTAAATAGGTAAGTATAAATAATACCAAAAGGGTGAACCATGGAAAGAATGAAAGGTACATTTCATACCTAGGCAGCAGGTGAATACTTGTGGAATACAAGCCAAAGGAGATGTTTTGCAGAGGAAATGAGCTAAGATGAATCAGGCTAGTTTGAAGACAAGATTAGCAGGGATAATTTTTTTTTCTGGCGATCACAAAGGTGCTGAAGGGAAATAACTTTAATTCTCTTTCTGTATCCCAGGGAACAAGAAAACATTTTACATCCACTAGAACGGCCAGGAATTTAGAAAGGCCTTGTGGCATAATGAAAAGTGAGTGAAGCTAAAAGGACGGGGCTGGCAATTGTGCTGCTAATAAATGAAGTTTCACAAGGGAGGCCCAAGCTCAGGGGAAGGAAACTAAGGCAGCACTTGAGAAGGATATTTTAACAGTTGTTCATTCCCATTTTGACCTTATAAATGGAACCCACGGTTTAAATGGCTTTGGGATATTCATGTTTTTAAGCCATTCATATTAATCGGATCAGACATGTAAGAATTATTTGTAATTACAGTGCAGTCTTCCTTTGCGGTTAGCATAAGGTACATGGATAGAGAAGAGAACTAAAAAGAAAATGGTAGCAGTAGCAGTTGCTTAACATCCTTCAGAACAGCTGGCAACCACAGGCAGCTGATCTAATGGGACAATAGGCAGTTTTCATTATTTATATAAAGCAGTTGACTCCCAACTCAATCCTCTCCAGATGTGTGGGAATGATAGGCCATGTATCTGAAGGATCTTGGCTTGGGAAAAATTGGTATACGATCAATGGAAAAAGTATAAGGCAAATGTACAATAAAAGTATTAATAACGTGAAGTTGTTTGAGAATTTCCTGCACATGTTCTCATACAATCTATGTTATTGACACCTTTATAGCACATTTACCTTATTCCTCTTTATCTATGAACCATTACCATCATTTCTTCAGCAAAAACTATGAAATCCCCATACTAAAGTGATTTTTTTTTTGCTTTGTTCTACCAACTTGGTTGGCTGGTTCCTTTCTTCTCTCAGAGGCATCCAGAGATCAGAGGCTTCCATCAAAATGATGAAAGCAATGTTGCATTGTTGTGACACAAGCTCTGTTCTATTCATACATTTGTGCCACATCAAGGTACATGTATAAAAGGGACAAGCTTGTGTCACAACAACACAATGCTACTTTTGTCATTTGCCTACTCCCCCCCACCAACCCTCCAGATGCCTCTGCCTCCTCTCTTCCTGCCAGAGAAAAATTTTAGTCAATTGGAAAAACTTTTGAGGCAACTAACAATGGAAAATTATAGGAATATTTTAATACAGAATGTAACATAACATAAAAAGTAATAAAACATTGAATCAGTCACAACATCAGAGTCAAACATCAACTAGGGCAGAAGGAAACAAACATTGAAAAAAATTGACATATTTTTAAATAACTAAGAAGATACATTATCAAAGAGTAGGGTTTTTTCTTTTTAATTGTTATAGAAGTCTAATTTTCATCTGTTTTACGCTTGCCTAGACACAAATTAGTAATTCTGGGAGCTTAATTATAATTTCTAGATTGCCAAAATTTATTCATCCTTAGCACAGGCAAAGAAAATGTCGCTGGCACTTATAATGAGCCATAGCATTCTAAAAATATGGAAGCATCTCAGAAAATGGTTGCTGGGAACCGTGGAAAACCTGGAAAAAATGAAGCAAAAGAGTATATAGTGATCCTCTATAGTTACCAGGGAATATCTAAGATCTACTTTCTTCTCAATTAAATAATACCTACCTCCCCTTGCTTAATAATACAACCACATTTTCTTTGATTTACACAAATCCACAAAGTCAGTACTGGCATTACTTTTGCAACACATTTTACGAGATTTGATCAACAGATATAGGAAAATAAGACTCATGTATCCTCAAGTATGAACTCCAATTTCCCTCAATGTTCTCTCTTACCAGAATAAGGATTGCAGTCCAAGTCATATCAATTGCATCTCTGATTCCTAATAAGTTGTATTGTTCTTCCTGAGTCACAAAATAGTTCTTTGTTTACTACGTCAACAAAACTTGCTTAGGACCAGATAAGATATTAAATGTATCTTTGACTGAAACATACAAAGTGCATATCTGAATGTGTGACAAGCAGATGTGTATGGACATGGAATAAAGGAAACAGCTGTACAACTGTAAAGAGGGAATATACTTCCATTAACCTGAAGCATATTCTTTCTTTGAAACTAGAACTATCTTTCATAGGAGAGATTTTTCACAGGTCTGGTTGAAGGAAAGAAGAATTAAATGTCCTCTTTGCATTTGAACTGAACCAAAGTGCTATTTAAAAATCCTGTACAATAGAACACTCTATGCTAAGAACATCAGAACTTTCACTCTCTCTGTATGTCACAGATCACTGAATAACCTCTCAAATTTAAAAATAAATAATATTTGAAATGGCTAAAATTGGTCAAGAAAGCCATACTTCTGATATTAGATCTGTAATTTATTATTGTTTTTAGTCTTTAAACATTAAAAAGAAAAGCTAATCTTTACATCAATTACAATTAGTACAAAATGCAACAGGCTGCATGCTAAATAATGCCAGACATCAGGATATATTACAGCTGTGTGCAGGTCCTCATTAACTGTCTGTAAATTCCAGGTGTGATTTAAAGTGGTGGCTTTAACTTATAAAGCCATATAGGATTTAGTGCCAAGGATCTCCTGGACCACTTCCTTTAACCAATATGTATGTATATTTATACAGTGTGTGTATGTATTTAATTTATTAGCTATCCAACTCCAGCAGACTCTAATATGATCTATCCAGCACAAACAACTCGCAAAACTTCGTTGGTCATTCCCCACTAGTCATGAAATTGAGTAGTAGATGAAATTGGAGGCTAGTAGTAGATGCTTCTCCACTATGGCCACTGTCTTGTGGAAAAGTTTTCCATGGAAGGCCAAGCTTACCCTGACTCTGTTGGTCTTCTAGAAGCTGTTCTAAATGGAGCCCTTCTGCAGCACGTTTTAAATAATTAGGATAGTACCATAAAAATGAGTACATTGCTTTAAATCAGTGGTTCTCAACCTGTGGGTCGGGACCCCATTTGGGGTCGAATGACCATTTCACAGGGGTCACCAAACAATGCAGTCCGCCATTTTTTTTCCCCTTTTCTTTAGCTGTGCTACTCCCTTTTATTCTATTGGCTTTTGAAATAGAGTCTAATTCTACTGGCTTTCAAAAGTCAATAGGAATGTCCAGGCTGTCTCTGCCCTGCTGAGCCCACCAAAAGTCCCATTCTGCAAATGGTGCTGCACCAATTGAGTAGCCCTCGACTTACAACCGGTTGTGTAGTCTTTGACTTACAACCGGTTGGGGGTCGCGGCATTAAAAAGGTTGAGAACCACTGCTTTAAATCAATGATAAATGTACTCTTATAGTTCAGTTCGTATTTCCTGTCATATTATCATATCTTGGACATTTCATTTTTGATAAATGGCTGAGAGTCATAATATTGTGGCAGTGTAAAATTCTAATAAATACGTATGTGTATGAATATGTATGTGTGTGTTAATGTATTAAGCTTCCTACAAAAAAGATTAATCCGATTTCCATGAGGAATTTGGCCATCCAACATGTTAAGCACCTGAATTACTCACTGGAAGTAAAACTTTGTGGAGGACATAATTTCAATATATGCACATTCAAATTTGCCAGTTGGAAACATCAGTCATCCTAGATTAACCTATAGTGCTTAGATTTGGATCTGAAATAGAGTGATACATGCCTTCTTATGTGGGCAAATCAATGAGATTCTCTTCTGTGTAATTATATCTCTGTTCATAGTCAAGCTCACACATTTCTCTTTCTTCTTACTTTCTCATCCAACATTTCCCAGACCTCTGATTTTTCTTACCTTTAAACAGTAAGTAATTAGAGTCATGGCACATGGGATTTACTGCAATTTATATAGTGAACCCAAATAGATGGGATATTTTTCTCCAATTTTCCCTAGCATGTTATCACCACAACAATTGTTGACAAGATTTTTGTCAGCTCTGAAAACCACTGCTTCTGTGAATGGAGTTTGCCTCTAACAGGAGCTGCTAATTGTTTAGTCTGAGGCTCTTCTTAGACATTTGCTCTGTTCTATTAAGGGCAGGTTTCTGTAAAAATAAATGAAGTTTGTAGCCCTTTTCTTTATGGGATAGCCTTTCCAATTCCTATACAAATTCAGGTTCTGTTGTCCTGTTAAGCTAGCCATGCAGAAAACTGTTTCCAGCCAAAGAATAGGAGTAGCCAACGTATGAACTCTATACCTCAATGAGGTGTTAACATCAAAGCTTCCTTGGTCCATTTAAATGCTAACATTATTAGGCAAGGAAGTCTAAGAAACAAGCACTCAGTGGGAGTCAAAGAACATGTTGTAAAAAGAGTTTTCTTTATGCTCATCACACTCCAATTCACTTAGGATGAGTTCTTGTTCTTTGCCTTCCAGTTTCCTAATTAAGTCTTCTTTCGCTTTCTACAGTGTTTAGGCTGGAGGGTGTCTTTTTCCATGTTCCATTAGCTTTTTCTTTTACCCGTCCTTTCTCCAACAACTTTTCTCTGTTATTAAGCATAGCAGTGGAGCTGAGCTCCCACCCAATTGATGCAACCAGTACCTTTTCTACTATGAATGGCTAAAGAATGCCATTCTGATATTTAAAAGTGTTGAACCAAGGAGGTGTGTTGCCACTTTCAGTTCTCTCTGTCATTATTCAGACAAGCATTCACACAGGGTTTAACTAATGCCATAATGTTTTATGAGTTTTGAAGACCACAAAACTTACGATGCAGAGTGATTATGGTTAGCATACATCCAAATTTAAACATCTGTTTAAATGTGTAAAGCAGAGATTTTAGTAATATAAATAGAATTAGTGCTATTTCCAAAAACAATTTATATAATATATACTTGCCTAATTCCATTTATGGTACCAATGCCATTCCAGTCACTCCTATCCATATGCTAGCCGTCATTCTCAAGGAATTCAAAACGTTTAGTAAAACAGGCCTTACCTATTAACTTCAGCAAGACTTCCTGCAACAATAATCCATTTTTCAATATTTCTTCTCAGCGTATCTATTCCAAGCACAAAGCTAAAGTCCTTGGAGGCCTTCCCCCCTTTTTAAAAAAAAACATTACAATGAATATTCTCCAGTTTGGGGGCAATATTACACATGGACCCTGCCAAATTTTGTGTTGAATGTTGAGGTCTAGATAGCAAAGCACGGAAACACTTCTCCAAAGCTGTAGCACTACCTTTTTTTTTTTTTTGTACTTTATTTATTGAAGATTTCTATCCTGCAAACCTGGATCTTTATTTTTAAAGACAAAAACATTACTTCCTGATTATTCATACGTGGGATCATAGAAATCTGTGGATTCAGTATGACCAAAGACAAATGCAAAATCTAACCAAGACCCGCAAGATAGCCTGAACTAAGGAAAATGATAGAATTCACCATTATTGGATATCATATCTGTGTTATATTTCTGAAGAAAGAAAGTCCAACCACGGGTAACCTACATTCCTTAGGCATACACACCCAGCAATATGTATTTGTACTTTCCACACATATCTCCTAACTAAAGTAACCAGTTTTTACTTGTTTAATTAATACTGAAGAGGAACTGTCAGTCCTTTTAGACAAGCCAAAGCCTAGGGTGGGTTCTCTCTGATTCATAAGGTTCATGGTTCAAAAAAGCAGAGAGACTTCAATGTCAGGAGTGTCAGGCAAGGGTTGGTAGGATTGGAGAGAGGAGAGGGATGGGGAGGTGAAGGGAAGGGAAGACTGGAAGATGATAAACCAGAAATCCAAAGAAAATCTGGTATCTTCACATCCTTTCATTCTGCTCCTAAACTAGCATAACTCTCCCCCCCCCCAGTCCATGTTTACTTTGAAGTGAGAAACATCTACTGGAGTCAGTTGCCAAAATCTTACAACAGTTTCCATAGCTCTGCAGTCTAACTGGTATTTTGTAGGGCTTAACTGATTTAAGTCTATGACAGTGATGGTGAACCTTTTAGAGACCGAGTGCTCCAAAACCGTTCCTCCCCACCCCCCACTTTGCCCCCACCCCACCCACAGGGCCACCCACCGCCTCCATGGCCCACCATAGTAGATTGCCCAGGTGGCCCAGCAGCACCATGTTGGCCACACCCTCTGCCCATGCCTCGCAGCATGATGGGCCATGAGGGCAGAGTCTTGTCTCTGCTGCCTGGTTGCCATGATCTTGGCTGTGCTGCTCCACACGGGCCGCGTTCAAGGGTGACTCTCCTCCGGGGAGGGCTGCTGTGAGGAGGGATCTGCAGGGGAAGGCGGGGCTGGGGCACTGCTGCACATGCCCATAGAGAGGGCTCTGAGTGCCGCCTCTGGCATGCGTGCCATAGGTTTACCACCACTGGTCTATGATGTGGCCACCGACACTTGATCTTGGGTATCACCCTTAAAGCTAAGGGTACCAGATTTTCAAAAGTCCAATCTGCTATGATTGTTATAGATTTAATGCAAATACAACCACATGATCCATTAGACAAGTGATCTGTTTGGAAAAGGTAATGTCTAATGTGGGAGCTGTATGTGTTTACTGCAGTATATACTAAGCAACACTTAGCAGTAATGAACCTTTTAACAATGCACA